TGTAGCAAGAGCCACCATTGACGGCGCTGTTGACTTGGAATCAAGTTCCTCCCAGAGGCTGTGCCTTTCAGCATCAATGGGAGCTCATCAAACTAGACATTGGGAAGAACTTCCTCTGAGTGAAGGCTGTCAGTCACAGGAACAGGGAGAGGAATCGTCTATGTTTGTAACACTCATTTGGTTTGGTTTGGTTTTTTAACCCAGAGCCTGGCCCACACTAGGCAAGCACCCCACCACTGAGCTACACCTCCAGCCCTGTGATGCGTTTATTTGGATGGTTTTTGAACACCCTATTTGCCAGGCATCCCACTAGGATTGGAGGGTGCATAGGTGATTAATTCCCTGCTTTGAATAAGCTCAGATATGTCGTCACAGACTAAATAATCGGAATTCAGTTGGATGAGTCTGATAGTAGGGATAAGGCAGGTTTATAGAGACCTGGGCTTTATGTTTATTGACTCACACACTCCTCACAGTAGCTCTTGACAGGTAAGAACTATAATGACTCCCATTTTATAGATGAGACAAAGGGGGCTCAGAGATATGAAATGACATGGGGATGGGGTCGCACAGCCAGTTAGCGTTGTGCCAGAGTAAGGATAAAGGCAGGGGCAGTGCTAGACACTGGCTCAAGAATTATAGCTTCACACATGAGCAAGACGAGTATTTACGAAACATCCTCGGGATTCAGAGGGTGTCACCCCAGCTCTGCCTGGGGAGGCAAGGGAAGCCTCACAGAGGAGGTGACACCAGGGCATAGCCATGGCTGGGGATAGGGCTCAGCTCCTGGACACCCTGAGGCCTTTTTCTGAGGGTAGATCCTACGTGTTTTTGCCATAAGGTGAATGAATGAATGAATGAATGAATGAGAAGGAAATACCGTAGCTATGTGAGGTGATGGGTGTGTTCGCGAGCTTAATGATGGTGATTATTTCCTAATGTGTATATCCAATCATCAAGTTGTACACCTTAAATATTTACAATAAAATAAATAGCTGACCTTTTCCTGGTTGCAGAAATGGGCAACCTGAGCCCCAGTAGAGTCAGTGGAAAGGGAGTTCATGCGTCTTAGGTCTCTTCTCCAGTGTGGGGCGTCCTTCCAGGTCTACCCCAGAAGGACCCAAAGGTTTGTCCTTCACTGTTGCTTCCTTCCACAGGAAAAATTCAAGCAGAACCGGTCCCTGCCAGGGGCCCTTGGTTATCAGCCAGACTTCCTTGGGAGCATCTCCTCTTTCCTGTCTCTGGAGCATGGGTTTTGCTGTTCTCTGCCCCCTTCCATTTCCCAACATCTTCCCTCTTATCAAACCGGCTTCCTGCCTCCACGGTGACACCGCCTCACCCAGCTACCTTGGGTGGTCCAGTTACCTCACAGGGTGAAGCTCTGAGAACATTTTCCTAATGTGCAGCCAGAAACTTCCGCTTCCTGTGCCCAGGGCTGCCCCCCTCAGCCCTCCCCTCCCACCAGCCTTGCTCTGTCAACACCCTCCCCCGCGACCCCCACCTCATCATGGCCGTGTCCAGCCAAGAGGACACAGAACGTGCCTGTGTATCCTGAGGGCTGCCAGGACTGGATGAAGACTTCAGAACGAGATTGCAAGCCATCCTTTGAAGCGCTTGCTTTTCAGGCCAGAATAGCTGTTGCGGGGCCCAGTGTAAATGAAAATGGAGGGCCTCTTGCCCAAAGTAGGAAGTATTTCAAAATGGCAATAGCAGAGAGTTAAACTGGGCCCTTCTGAGTGTGAGGCCCTGTGCAACTGCACAGGTTATCTGCTCGTGGAGTCAGCACTGGAGAGCAGTGTGTGTGTGTGTGTGTGTGTGTGTGTGTGTGTGTGTGTGTGTGTGTTGTGTGTGTGGCGGGGGGCAGGGCAGTGGTCACAGGGTAGTGATGGTAGAGCAGAGTTTGAGTTCAGGCCTTGAGTGTCCAATTCAGCCATAAGTTAGTTAGACCTTAAAACAGCATCACTAGGCCATTTGTTCCCTTCGCTGGGAGTCAGAGATAGACTGGAAGGGAGACCAGAGGCCAAGAGAAGGAACCAGGCTTGTCTAAGGTCACACGGCCAAAAAAGGCTTTCTACCTTAAAGGGCAAGAATTGGGTGAGCCTCTGTCTTTATGACGGGTGGAAACCTTGGGAATGTCTGATGCTTTTTTAACGGCCCAGCACTCCCTAATGCACAAATACAGATGCACGAGTGTGCCTTCACACATGAGCAAGACGAGCACGTCTGAGAGCTCACGTACTCCGACACACGCCCCCTCCTTGTAGGTATCGCAGGTTCCTACGGCCACAACCAGACTCAGGCACCCAAGAATCAGGGTGCACTCTTATCTCCCCCGGGTCCAGGCATGGCCTCCCTGTCTGATCTGTGTCCTCTGGTTGCACAAGCTGGCCTCCCAGGAGAGTCCTAGGTCAGAACCACCAACTTGGTAGAGCAAACCCTGTGTTAGAAGATTCTGCACGTTGATTCCGTGCCTATCACTCTACAGGGCCCAGAGCCTCTTGCCAGTGCTCTTAGCCCTCCTGCGGCATCAGCTGAAGGATCTAAGCTTTGAAATCTCCGCTGGCCTCCCTCTCCCAGCTCTGCGCAATTCTCTTCCTACCTTTGCCTGGCACCAGCCTCGCCCTTCTTCCTTTTGTGAGGGGCCAGGCCTGAATGGGCCCCCTGGAACCAGACCATAGGAAACCGCCCTCCACGCCCCACCCTGGCCCCTCTCCTGAGCACTGCAGCTGAGCGGCCTGCTGTCTTGGGGCAGGATGTGGAGGCGTTGGGGGGGTTCAGCCCCCTCCTCCCCAGGGGAGAACAATGAGGCCGCTAGTCAGGGTGGCAGGCGGAGGGAGTGGGTGGGGTGGGGGCTGTGGAGAAGCATCAGAGCTCTGCGTGCGGCCCCTGAAGGGACAGCTGAGTGATGAGGCCTGAGTCACATGCCCCACGTGCTCCTTGAACTCCCGCTCGGGTGCCTGTCGAGACACATCAGAAATGCACAGGGTAAATATTTAGAGGTAATCATTTTCGTGGCACCTAGCAGCTCCCTCCTCACTGAGGATGAGCCAGGCCCAGGGCACAAGAGGAAGGAATCGAGTCAGACCAGGATCTGCAGCCTGGGCATCTGTGGGCATCACCCTGCTTCCAGTCAGATGTAGCCAGAGGCTGGTGGATGGAGCCCAGAAACATCCCGAGGACCAAACGAACCCTCTTGGTGCAACTTTTTTCCTGTTGTTGACTGTGACCATCAGCCCCACTAGGGCCTCCACAGAGCCCTGCTTCTAGACCTGGCAGGTGGCCGTGGTCCTTCTGTTTCCACAGGAGTGCAGGGAGGGAACCATAGGCAAGGACCAGCCCCACATTTAGCGTGACAGTTCCTTAGCTCTACCCTGCCTGGAACATCTTCCTTCCTTAGAGGACATGGAGTCCGGAGCCCAAGCTTTATCAAAGATAAAACATTTGAGACTAAACAGTCTTTTTATAGACTGGAACTGGGCTCCCAAGCACATGTCCCTGGCCACCCCAGCTGGCCTCTCCCAGCACACACATAAAGCAACACATTTCTGGGGCGGGGGAAAGGGAGGCACATGTTTGAGGGCACACGTGCATTCCCAGAGCAAGGTGAAGGCCTGAGGGTGCTGCCTAAGGACACGGTAGTCTGGTCTGGGCTCACCTCTGCCCACCCAGGGAGGTGAGCTGAGAAGCAGCTCTTAGGAGTTTGAAATAGGAGGGAACCCAAATGAGTCGGATATAAACGCACAGCCTCCAAGAAGAAAATGCCAACAAGAGCCAGGACCTGCAAACAAAGTCCCCGACTCCGCCCCACCCACCTCCAGGCCTGTGGGGCTGGGACTCTGGCCCACAGTCCACTGAGGGAAAGGTGGAAGGAAGAAGCAAATATTTATTGTGTAGGTCCTATTTATTAGTCAATCTGTCAACATGAGTTCTTGATCCTTACAAGGACCTCGCTAGCTTGGTTTTATTTGTTCCATATTATTATTATTATCATCATCATTATTCATTTTATTTTTATGGCTGAGAAAATGGCTGGTCCAAGTGATCAAGAGCCCCAGGTTTGATAGGTGACTGTGGAGGAGAGAGAGGACCTCAGGGCCTTTTGACTCCAAAGCTCCCTGCTTTTTTCTTTTGTTTTCTTAAATGTAAAATGGAAGCTAGCCTGGGGTGGTTGTGAGGATTAAGTGGGATTATTTGGATAAAGGTTGGCCAATGCCTGGCACAGAGTGGGCCTCCAGTAAATGTCAATGTAGTTATTGTGGTTAATTTGTTTGCAGGTCATCTTAAAGGACAGTGACGCTAAAACCACTCACAGGGTCTCTTAGGTAACCTGGAAGGTTTAGAATGATCTAGGCTGTGAGTGCATGGAGGGATCCGGGCCTTCACACACCCCCATTCAGGAATCTGGGCATCTTCTAGGATGTACCAGGAGACTGACAGGGAGCAAGGCCAACGGGAGGGAGACTGTCAGAGAGCCCAGAGGGTAGCCAGACTCCACTGGCTCTGGGACTGGATGACCCCTGTGGCGGCCTGGGGATGGGCACAGCAAGGCATGGACATGGACATCCACTGAGGCTGCTCTGTAGGTGAGAAGGGCAGTGATCCCGGGCCTCAGTTTCCCCACTGGTAAAAAGAGTGCATAAAATATTATCTGCACTAAAGACCCCTCCCTTCCTCTCTGAAATGCTACGAATTTTCCTCTAGCTCCTCCGTTTGTGGGGAAGTCAGCTTCCTCCATTGTCCTAATTGCAGCTGTCCCAGGAGAACCCTGCCAAGGAAGACTGAAAGGAGGAGGGTGGATGGGGGACTGGACAGAGGCAGCTCAGGGGCCTGGCTCCCAGCCCTGCTCTGCCTGCGGAGCTAGGAGGGCATGGCAGGGTGCAAGTGGGGGGCTGAAAGGAACTGTAGGAAACTCTGTCTCCCCCATGGGGGCTTGGGGCATGACAGTGCAGATGGTACAGGTGGGCAGCTTACAGCCCCCTCCCCGTTTTCTCTCCACGCAGAGACCTCAGCATGAACAACCTCACGGAGCTTCAGCCCGGCCTCTTCCGCCACCTTCGCTTCTTGGAGGAACTGTGAGTGGGAGTTGGGGGATGGGAGGCCAGGCTGGGGCTGCCTCTACCAGCTGAGGAATCAGGTCACCTCAGGAGGAAGGGGGCTTGAGGGAAGAGAAAGGAGCTTGGGAAGCCAAGCGGTGTCCCGCTGACCTCTGCTCCAGGTGTGAGTCCTGGGGGGCAGGGCTAGGCCTGGGCGGTACAGGAGGTCTGGAGTCTAACTGCATTCCTCCCTGAAACCCGGGCCTTTTTGTAACTTTTTTTTTTTTGGCAGTCCTAGGGATTAAACCCAGGGGCGTTCTACCACTGAACCACATCCCCAGCCCTTTTTATTTTTATTTTGAGTCAGGTCCTTGCTAAGTTGTTCAGGGCCTCACTAAGTTCCTGAGACTGGCCTTGAACTTGCCATCCTCCTGCCTCAGCTTCCTGAGTTGCTGAGATCACAGGTGTGCGCCACTCGCTGTGCCTGGCTCACTTTCCCTCTCATTGTCCTTAGTTGCACATCTCCCCAGGGTCATCTTTGAGCTGCAGCTGAGCCCTGGGTCCAGCCACCAGCCATTCTCTAGAGCCCAGTGGTTCTGAGATGTCACTCACGTCTACCCTTTGTTCTCTATTCCCACGGCTACTGCCCCAGACATCCCTGACCCCTGGGGGAAACCAGCCTCCTAAGTGACAGATCTGCTGCCTCCCTTCTAATGTTCTCTGTACAACTTCAAGATGCAGCCCACCAGCTCAAGAGCCCTTGGTGGCTCCCCACGACCTGTAGGATCAACGTCTTATACCCTTCCCTACAAGATCCTCTTCCCTGGCAAAGTCCTTTCTGGGTAATCCCTCCCCACAGTGTCACTCCTGTCTGGCCTCACACTCAAGGAGGCTCAGGAGGAAGTCACCTGCTCCATTAGAGTGTCCCTCCTGATTGCTTTGGGAAACCAGGTCACTCTGTCCCAAGTCTCTTCTTCCCCTAGATCCCTGGGGTCCTACAAAGCTTTGCTTAAACTGCACAAACTGTGGGCTCCTGGCCCTGGAGACGTTTCTGCCCCATCCCTACCCTGACCTACCACTCCCTCACAGGTGTCCCCTCCTCACCCACTGTGCTCCTCAAGGACAGGGAGTCCATCAACCCCCAGGGCTGTGGCTGGGTTTGCTGCAAACCCTCACAGCCCCAGAGGTTGATGGACTCCCTGTCCTTGAGGAGCACAGTGGGTGAGGACAAGTCAAGGTGACCTAGGGGAAACAAGCTGGAGGTCCCTCCTGCCACCCGCAGGGAGCTTGCTCAGGGCTGGCGAGCTGGCACTGTAGGGTGGGTCCAAGGGGCATTGTGTGTGGGGGGCAGGGTTGGTGGAGCTGAGGAATAGGGGGAGGAGGAAGAAGAGGAGGGGGAGGGGGAGGAAGGGGGGAGGGAGAAAGGGAGGAAGCCAGTTTTCAAAGGAAGTGGACAGGGTAAGAGGGGCCTTCCCAGGTGGATGTGACAGCCTGTCAGGGGAACAAAAAGTTACGAGCAAAGGCCAAGTGCTCAGGAAAGGGGACAAAGAGGGGGACAACCTGAGAGTCAAGGCTGGTTTTGTAGCTCCTGCTCCCTGAGACAGGGTCAAGCTCCAGGACCCACCCAGGCAGGAGCCCATCCACAGAAGCCAGGCTTGGTGACCTCAAATGTCCAGATGCCTTTCCACACAGTTATTTTTGAATGACAAATGTCAAGTCAAGAGACTTCGATTAGATTCTTTTGGGGGTGAGGTGGGATCTAACCCAGGGCCAGGCAAGCATTCTACCCTGAGCCACATCCCAGCCTGAGATAAAACATATTGAAAAAAAAAAAAAAAAGCTCCTGCTGTATTCCAGCACAATCTCCACATCTGCAGGCTCACAGGAAGGAGAGATAACGTCCCTGGGGACTCTGGAGGTTCAGAAGTGTCTTCTGAGCCAGCCACAATTAACCTCTGCCCAGTCAGGTGTGAGCATATTTTATTACATTTGCTCCTTTTAGAATTGATCACCTCCTGACAAATGGGGAAATGCTTAATTAGACCAGAATGTCAGGGGGATGCCAGAACCCCATCTCCCAATGCTCCCCAATTACTGGGGGTGAGCTGTGTGGTGTAAGGTGTGGGGAGATGCAGACCTCTGTACCCATCCCTTCACTGGTGACATGGGCAGTGCAGGTCAGTGGTCAAAAGCAGGATGTGGGTGGCCCAGCTCAGCTCAGGACAGACCACGGTGCAAAGTGAGCCCCAAAGATTGTCAGATCTGGGGCGAACCTTGTGCTTCTGGAGGGGAAGTCACTTGACTCAGCCTCAGTTTCCTTGTGTGAAATTTCTCTTGTGAAATTTAAGGATAGCTAAATCCAAAAATCTGAAATAACTTTTTGAACTCTGACCTGACGGCACCATCAGCAGACAATTTTGTGCCTGACCTCGTGTGATAGGTCACAGTCAAAGCCCAGGAGCACTAAGACCATTTTAGGGGCTGGAGTTTTAGCTAAGTAGCAGAGCATGTGCTTAGCATGCACAAAGCCCGCGGTTCCATCCTCAGCACCAAAACAAACAAGCAAAATTATTGTATGAAATTACCTTCAAGCCAGGGATGGTGGCATATGCCTGTAATTCCAGCAGCTCAGGAGGCTGAGGCAGGAGGATTGCAAGTTCAAGGCCAGCCTCAGCAACTTAGTGAGGCCCTAAGCAACTCAGCAAGACCCTGTGTCAAACTAAAAAATAAAAAGGGCTGGGATATAGCTTTAAGCATAACTGGGTTCCATCCCCATTACCTGAAACCAAAGTATCTTATAGGGTTTTGTGAGAATTGAGATGGCATGTGTGGAGTAGGTGTAGACCTCAATAAATGCTAGCTGTCACCACCACCTCCCCCTCCCACATCCCAAGATACGAAGTAATAACGGAAGTCACCCCCTCCTTGGGTTACCTGCTGACACCACTGACCTTTGACTCTGATTTCCAGGCGTCTCTCTGGGAATCATCTCTCACATATTCCAGGACAAGCCTTCTCTGGTCTCTACAGCCTGAAGATCCTGTAAGTATCAGTGCACCCCAGTTTCCATAAAGGTGCAGCAGAGAGACTCATGGTCAGATGGAAGATCTGCAGCCTGACTCTTGGTTGACCACTGATTCGCTTCTTCTCTTCACTTTTTAAAAATTTGTTCTTTTTAGATACACTCGGCAGTAGAGTGTATTTTGACTTTATCTTCACTTTATTTTCACTCATTATGTCCAATGCTTTGCTTTGTCTTATCTGCAATAAACTGTAAACAAATGTTGACTGTAAACAAATGTTTACATTTGACTGGAAACAAATGTTGAATTGCACCTGCCAGGGTGGCCACCATAGGGAGAAGTGAAGTTTTTTTTGTGTGTGTGCCATGAGTAATGCCCTAAGGCACAGGGCTTGGTGGGGGAAGAGTTCAGTTGCAGCACCCTCCCTGAGACCCTCAGGCCAGGAGAGGCAGAAGACTGTTTCTAGGGAGGAAGAATCCAGATGGGTTTTCTTTGCTCATTTTTCTTTTTGAGGCTCAAATGTGCATTAGCTCATTCTCCTATCTTCTCCTTCAGCCTTCAGGCTGCTTCTGCCCAATCCCTTTCACCTTCCCTTTGAAGCAAAAAGGAAAGTGAGTTGGCAAAGACCTTGGGTTAATTACCTTGCTTTCCCTTGCCATTGGCCTGAGGATTCCACTTCAGAGAAGGGAAGGCTGAGGCCCGGTCTCCTCTCATCCCAACCCATGACTCACTTCAGCTCAACAATACTGTCCTCCCTGAGGCCTTCTTGGGTCCTTATGACGAGGAAGGGTGGAGGAGGTGGAAGCACTGACTCTGGAGGTGGGCTTCCTGGAAAGGCTCCTTACCCCAGGGATTAGGAAGAAAATGAGGATCTTAGGGGGTGGATTCTGAAGCAAAAGAACGGTCATTTGGAAGCTTCCCTAAGGTGCTGGCTGAGCATCCCCCAGCTCTGTTACTCCTTTGGCCCTAACTAGACTTGCAGGTCTTTGGGTAGTTGAGCCTGAGGGGATAAGGGACTGAAATCCAGTTCTGTGCCCTGGTTGGATACAGCACCCCACTCAGACACTGAGATATCTTTTTAAATTTTTTCTTAAAGTTGCTTTTGGACTAGCAGGGGCCTTCCCACATGGTCCAGCCAATCATCCAAACCTAAGCACTTTCTTCTTTTCCCACGTAATTGGTGTTGTTGGGGCACCTCTGGTCCCCAGGTCTCTCTCCATCTGCCTCTGAATCTCACTCTCAGGGCTGTCCTGGCTGCTGTCCCTCCTCCATTCTCTACTCTGCCCGTGGGTGCCTCCTGTCTGTCCTCAGCCTCCTCTTCTGTCTCAGACCTTTCTCTCCCTCTTGGCACCTCTGCTCCTGCCTCCCAGGTCTCCTTCCTGCCTCTGCCCTCCGTCTTGCTCCCCATAAGCACAGAGCCATGGGGGTGGGGGATTCTGAACCAGAGGCGCAGTGCAAGAGGCCTACTTGGTGGCATGTCTGTGCCCCGTGGCAGGCTCAGACCTGCAGCTGAATTAGAGAGCAGGGCTCTGTTTGCTGGGCCTTCAGAAGATGGGAGACTCACGTCCCGCTCCTAAGACTCTGGCTTAGAGATGAGCCTCCCCTTTCTTCTCTGCCTGCATTAGGCAATAAATCAAAGCCCAGGAGAAACCGCAGGCTGCCCGCCGCCCCCTTCCCACCAACGGCACCTTGGCGCAGCAGCAGGGCGGCCAGGAGAGCGGAGGACTGCCAGCCCATTCGCCCCCATCTCTGCCAGAGACCTCTGCTTTGCCCCATCCTCCAAGGCCACCAGGTCCCCCAAACCTGCATGCCGTTCCTCTGCCTGCAGACCTCTGCTTTAGGAGCAGGCAGGCCGCCTGGGGAATCCCTCCTGTCACTCCAGTGCTTCAGAGCACCCCAGCATAGGACCTTCCCGATGTCTGACGTCCCTTGTTGCAGGTCCTTCCATTGTTTGGCTTTCAGGCCTGCAAGAAAAATAGGCCAGCAAGAGAGCCTCTCTGCACCAGGGACCCCAGCAGCTCCCCGCCTCCTCTTATCCAGGACCCTTCTCTGAACTGCACCTTCCTTTCTCTGATGCCTGGGGGACAAGCCGCTTCCTTTTTACCCTCCCAGAAGCAAAGGATTAAATAAAGTGGATTCCCTCTCTGATCCTCCCTGAATGACTGTGGCAGAGCCCCTCCCTCGGGTCCTCCCCCCAGGCCAGCCCTGGAGATATCACTAGGGCTCTCCTCTGTTCAAGGTTGGATCACGTTGAGAGTTGGCCTCCACAGGGAGTCGGCAGCCGTTGGCTCTTGTGTGTGTGGACATCAGGTTCACTGCCAGGCTCGGTGGTGGTGCTGTCCCAAGGGAAGCTACTGTTCTTGCTGCCCCAGGCACATGGGACAATGCCTGCACCTCCAAGGGCCCTGTCCTGAGTGCCTGTAGGGCCTGGGGGTGGCTGTGGCCAGAGCCCTTGGGCTCAGGGTGTGTGTCTGTTAAGCCTCAGGGTCTTTAACTCAAAAGGTTGCAGCCCCACCTTCCCTCCCAGAGCTTTCCTGCCAGAGAGCAGGACCTTAGTCCTTAATCCAGGTCTTAGTCCCCTTCTCGGAGGACCAGCCAGGGCCTGTGCCCACCCTGCATCAGGATACTGTGGTCCCATCTACCAAGATGCCTGCTGGTACCAGACATAGTGGCACACGTCTGTCATCCCAGGAACTCAGGAGGCCGAGGCACTCTCCACAAATACCAGGCCAACCTGGGCAATGTAGC